GATCATTTCTCCCTAAAATCTACTTACTATAGTTTAAGCAATGATGTGTCTTCAACATGTATGGCTGGGCGTGGTGGCTCATATCTGTAACTCCAGCACTCGGAGAGGTCAAAGCACGTGGATCCCCTGAGCTCAGGAGTTCAAGACTGGTCTGAGCAACATGGCGAAACTCTGTCTCTACCCACCCCACCCCCAAAATAAACAAACACACACACACACACATATGTGTGTGTGTATGTATATATACACACATATACATACATGTATATACACACATATATATATTGAAAATTTTTAATATATATTTATATGTGTGTCTCTACACACATATATATATATTAAAAATTTTCAAAATTACTATGATAAAATTATTCATGATCTCCATTTAGATCCTCTAAAGGTTCATAGCATTTCTGGTCATATTTTCTTTGCTCTTCTGATATTTGTTAATTGTGCATGCTCTTTTGTTCAATTGTCTCACCATGCCTATCTCACTTTGGTTTGTCTTTTGGAGGAAACCACTTTTGGCTTTGTTCTTTCTTTTCATTCTTTACTTCATGAACATCTCTTCTACCCTTTATTTTCTTCCTTCTTTGAGTATGTTTTACTTTGAGTATATTTTACTATTCTTTATTAGCTTTTTAAGGTGGATACATACCTTACTGAGTTGGAGTCTTTTGTGTTTTCTAATATGTGCATTTAAGGCTGGGTTTTTTCTCCCTAACTGCTTTAGTTGTTTCTATAAGTTTTAATCTGTAATTGTTAAATATCATTTTGTTAAAAAAAATTTTTTCCTTTTAATTGTGATTTCTTAATGGGTGATATGTTATTAAAAAGTATTTCTGGCCAGGCGTGGTGGCTCAGGCCTGTAATCCCAGTATTTTGGAAGGCCATGGGGTGTGGATTCCATTGGCCCAGAAGTTTGAGACCAGTCTGGGCAACATGGTGACACCCTGCCTCTACAAAAAATAAAAAGAAGTAGCCAGGTGTGGTGGCACATGCCTGTAGCCCCAGCTACCTGGAAGGCTGAGTTAGGAGGATTGCTTGAGTCTAGGAGGATTGCTTAAGCCCAGGAGGACAACGCTGTAGTGAGCCAAGATTGTACACTGCATTCCAGCCTGGTAATAGAATGAGAGCCTGTCTCAAAAAAAAAGTGTTGCCAAGTTTTAAAATACATTTCCTAATGATATAGTTCATAATTCCTGCCTTAATTGCATTATAATTTGAGGATATGCTCTATTGATTTCATTCTTTTAACATTTGTTGTAGTTTATTTCTGAGACAAAGTATATAATTTTTAGCAATATTTTGATTTGCTTAAAAATAGAGTTAATTAATATAATGACATAGGTTCATTAAATCTAGGTTACTGATCACATTGTTCAAATCTTTCTTGCTGATGCTAAGCCTTTTTTCAACAAAGGGTACAGAGATATATTAAAATTCTCCAATTTGATTATAGGTTTGCCTATTCCCCCAAGTAGTTCTGTCATTTTTTCCATGATATCCTTGGAAACTATGTTACCAGGGCCATAAAATATAAAATAATTTTTACTTGTATATATGTCTTATAAAGTGATTTTTTTCTTTAGTAATGATTTCACCTTAATGCTTTCTCAGACTAATACTAATATTGCTCCACTAATACCCTTCCAATTTGTATTTATGTGGCATATTCTTCCAACTTTTTTTTAGACTCTATATGTGGCTCTGAATCAGTTGCATCTCCTATCAATAGGATATAGTTAGATTTTTGAAAAATATTTAAATCTTTGTATTCTCTTATATGTATTAACTATAACATTTATATGTATTTTATAATAATCTTCAGTTAAATCTAACTGTTGTATTAAATTTTACATATTTTTTCCCACTGAGGCAGTCATTTATTAAAGTTTCCCAGTAGTCAAAATTAATGCAGTTTTCGGGAGACAAAAGTGTTTTACTTACTTAGACTTACATGGTGATGAGTAAATATGATTTCTCCCCTTCTGCTAGTCTGATGGCATGAAACTAACACAGAAATAATGACATTCAATATAATAATGGAATAGAGCAATGTAACCATTTTGTAGTTACTTAAAGGAATAGTTTTCAATTTCATTGACTTCTGCTTTATTATTATTTATTTTTATTTTTTTAGTTTTGAGACAGAGTCTTGCTCTTTCACCCAGGCTGGAGTGCAGTGTTCTTCCTATGAGCAATACTATAAGCAATCTCAGTTTACTGCAAACTGCACCTTCCCAGGTTCAAGCAATTCTCATGCCTCAGCCTCCCAAGTAGCTGGGATTACAGGCACCCATCACCAGGCCTGGCTAATTTTTGTATTTGTTGTAGAGATGGGGTTTCACCATGTTGGCCCGGCTAGTCTTGAACCCCTGACCTCAAGTGATCTACTTGCCTCAGCTTCCCAAAGTTCTAGGATTACAGGTGTGAGCCACCACACCCAGCCTGCTTTATTATTAATATTTTATTCACTCTGATTCTTTGGGGTTTGTTATGCTCTTCATTTGCAAAGTTCTTGAGGTAGAAACTTTGCTTATTGTTTTCGGCTTTTTTCTAGTATATATATTTAGTACTATAAATCTGCCTGTTAGCACTGCCCTATCTGCACCCTAAACGTTTTGAAATATGTGTTCATTTTGTTCAGTTCAATGTCTTTTCTGATTTTCTTTGATACTTTATTTTTGATCATGTTCTTTTCTAGGATCTTTTTCTTGGTCTCCATTTTTTGGTATTTAAGGATTGCCAGTTTCATCAGCATAAAGTCTGAGATATATCAGGAACAAAGAAAACCCAGGGCCAGGTGTAGTGGCTAATGCTTGTAATCTCAACACTTTCCAGGAGAGGAAAGAAGCATGATCCACAGGGCTGCTATGACAGTTTGGGAACATGAACACCCTCATAGTCATAATGTCCCTGCAGCTGAACCTAAGTTTCCAACAGTAGATCCTCAATGGGATAACAATAATGTAGTCCATCGAGGGGATATGAGACATCTCAGGGATGTGATAACTAACGGGATTTGAGAATCATTTCCCCAAACTCAAAATATTACCAAAGCTTTTAGTATACAACAGGGACAGGATGAAGGACCTGTGGAGTTTTTAGAAAGGCTTAAGGAACAAATGAGGAAATACACTGGTCTAAACTTAGGAGACCCCCCTTGGATAAGGAATGTTAAAGCTCCATTTTGTTACCAATAGTTGACCAGACATTACAAAGAAATTACAAAAGATAGAAAACTGGAAAGACCGACCCATAGAAGAGCTTTTGAAAGAATCCAAAAGGCATATGTACAAAGGGATGAGGAAAAGCAGAGGCATAGGCAAAAATTACGCTGTCTACCCTACAACAGAGAATTCCCCAACAGACAGCCCAGGGGAGTAGAGCCTATAAGCCTTCTAAGCACCCGGCTTTCAGACCCTACACAGGAGGCAAAAGATAAAAGCCAGAAAAACAGGAAATGCAAAAGGGAAAAAGTGAATGCCCTGAATGGGAAGAAGAAAATGAAGTTGCCCCACTTATGGCTTTTGAGGAGGAATGGGGGGTCAGGGGCTCTGTCTTTTCTACATCAAGTCTCACAAAGAGCCCCTGATAAATCTAGAAGTGGGACTCAACTCCAAGCTAATCACCTTTTGGATCAATTCAGGGGCAGCTTGCTCCTCTGTTTCTTATTCCCCACTTGGTATAATTTGTTCACAGGAAGAACTTCTTATCTCAGGGGTGAACGGAGAAGAATGTAGAACAAAAATTTTACAGGAAACAGAAGTCAAATACAAGAACCACTCAGGTAATATGATATTTCTGTTAATACCAGAGGTGGGAACCAACTTATTAGGAAGGGGTTTAATGCTGAAATTAGGCTTAGGACTTTATGTCAACCAAGGAAAAATTTTCACCTCCCTGAACTTACTTACCATCATAGATGAAGAGTATATGCATCCTGATATCTTGTTAAGAGAAGGAAATCGAGGAAACATGAGTTCCTCCAATCCATGTTAAATTAAAAACTCCCAGGGAAGTAGTGAAAAGAAAACAATACCCTATTCCTCTGAAAGCTAACATAGGTTTAAAACCTATCATTGAAAGCTTCCTCCACGATGAACTTCTTGAACCCTACATATCCCCTTGTAAGACTCCAATATTGCCTGTAAATAAGCCAGACAGGTCATACTGGCTTGTGCAAGACCTCCCCGAGCTATTAATCAAATAGTTCCAACCACTCATCCCATTATCCCTAACCCTTACACCGTTATTAGCAAAATTCTACTTGACCATGAATGGTTCACGGTAATAGATTTGAAAGATGCATTCTGAGCTTGCTCTTTGGCAGAAGACTGTTGGAACTTGTTTGCCTTTGAGTGGGAAGACCCCCACTCCAGCCTAAAACAACAGTACCGATGGACAGTTTCACTCCAAGCGTTTACAGATTCTCCAAATCTTTTTGGTCAAGTTTTAAAACAAATCTTAGAAAAAATTTTCGTCTCTCATTTGTAGGTCTACTCCAGTACATAGGTGACCTGCTTATCTCAGAGGGGTGACAAAGAACGGGTAGTGGTATTTTCAGCTAATTTTCTAAATCGTCTAAGAGAAGAGGGGCTAAGGGTCTCAAAAAATAACCTTCAGTTTGTAGAGCCTGAAGTAAAGTACTTAGGAATTCTAATTAGTAAAGTCAAATGGAAAATTGGGTTTGAACGCGTTGAAAGTATCATATCCCTACCTCTGCCAGAAAGAAAACAAGAGCTTAGGAAGTTCTTCGGCTTAATTGGATACTGCTGCCTATAGACTGACTCACATGCCTTAGAAACAAAACCCTTATACCAAAAGTTTACTCAAAAAGAGCCAGACCTCCTCACATGGACCCTCCCAGAAAAAAGACAGGTAGAAAAATCAAAACATTTACTAGTAACTGCCCCTGTTCAAGCTTTACCCTCCCTAGCACAGCCATTTCATCTTTTCATCAATGCAAACAAGGGAGTAACGTTAGGAGCACTCACCCAAGAACATATGGACCACCAGCAGCCCATAGACTTTTTGTCAAAAATTCTAGGCCCATAATCCAAGGATGGCCTGAACGTGTCCAGTCTGTAGCAGCAACAGCTTTGCTCATGGAGGACAGCAGGAAATTAACCTTTGGGAGTAAACTCACTGTTAGCACATTTCACCACGTCAGAACTATTCTCAACCAAAAGGCCAAAAGATGGCTTACTGACTGAAGAATTCTAAAACATGAAGCTATCCTGTTAGAGAGAGATGACCAACCCTAGCCACTGACAATTCCCTAAATCCAGCAGCTCTCCTAGCTGGGAATTCAAATCCAGACCCAGAAGTAACAGTGAACCCATACCCAATGGAACCTGGGTTTAAACTAATTAGGTTTAGACCTAATTAGTTACCAGACCAAAATTAGACCAGACTTATGTGAACCTCCTTTTCAAACAGGAAAACGTCTTTCTGTGGATGGCTCCTCTTGGGTAATAGAAGGGAAAAGGCATAATGGGTACTCCACAGTAGACGGAGATACCCTTACAGAAATAGAATCAGGAAGGTTACCAAATGACTGGTCCACACAGACATGAGAGCTATTTGCCCTGAATCAGGCCTTAAAAAATTTCTAAAATCAAGAAGGAACAATTTACACTGACTCCAAATATGACTGTGGAATAGTGCATACCTTTGGAAAAATCTGGACTGATTGAGGCCTTATTAATAGCAAAGGTCAAAACCTAGTACACAAAGAGTTAGTAATACAAGTATTAAATAATCTTCAGCTTCCTGAGGAAATAGCTGTTTTTCATGTCCCAGGACACCAAAAGACCCTCTCCTTTGAAACTTGGAGAAATAATCTAGCTGATCAAATAGCTGAACAAGCGGCTTCCTCCCAAGCTGCACCCATTTTTCATTTAACCCCTCATCTTCCCCCTCCAACTACATTCCCCATCTTCTCCCAAGCAGATCAAGAAAAACTATGTGTTAGGTTTGTCCTCCACCTTTTCCTTCCACAGGACTCAAGGCCTTCTGGCACAAACTCCGCCCCATGAATTTTCAGTTCAGCACCACCAGCCCAGAGACCACGTCCTCGTCAGAAGTTGGAAAGAGGGAAAGCTCAAACCCATTTGGGAAGGACATTGCCTAGTACTCTTAACAACTGAAATGGCTGTGTGAACTGCTGAAAAGGGATGGACTAATCATACTGCAGCCAAAAAGGCATCACCCTCTCCAGAATCACGGACTGCTATTCCAGGACCCACCCAAACCAAAGTAACATGGAAAAGGAAAGTTTCATTTGTCACTTCCTCCTTTCCCTCCTCTCCCCAGCTACCTCACATCGTATTATCAATATAACTAGGTCTAATTTCCCTCAAACCATTAACTGTTATGCTTGTCTTTTAAGCCCTGGGGAGATCTCCAAAGCCAAAGGAAGCCAGCCTCTTCAGAAAAGGGCCTTTGCCATTGCAGGGTAAATAAAACTGCCTATGAAAGTAACTCTTACACCAAGTGAGCACAGGTCAGTCAGTGGAGATTCTGCTGTGGTTGGGGAGATGTGGTCTGGACCACCAAGTATTCAAGATTGAACCTCCCTGGGAGGAGGTTGCACTAACCTAAAACCTTACACCCAGTTTACCAAAGAGGCAACTCCCTCTAATTGTTAACTCCAAGAATGTAACCCTGTGCAAATCTCCATCACTGTCCCCATCTCTACTGACACTAACCCCACTTTAGGTCGCTTCTACAGCCTAGGAGCTGATGTTCCTGGAACAGACCTCATAGAATCCCTTGAAATGTGCTTCACTGCTCCTCTACCCACTTCCCTTCCTCCTCCTCTAAACCTTCTTCCAATCAAACTTATTCTTTCCGTACCCAGTGACGATACTATAGTAGACATTGCAGAAGTTTCAGATTTAAAACAAACTTAGCAATTGAAATAGGATACCAAAAATGTGAATGCCTGGCTGGAATGGATTAAATATTCTGTTCGCGTGTTAAATAAAAGCGACTGTTAATGCTTGTGCAGCAAGCAGGCCAGAAGCCCGAATAGTCCCCTTCCCACTCAGATGGTCTTCTGACTGACCAGGCATAAGCTGCACGGTGAGTCTCTTTCAAAACCCCACAGCCTGGGGCAATGAGGCATACAAGACTCTCTCACTGCTATTCCCTGAAGTTAAAGGCTCTGTGGGTCAGCCCCCAAGGGTCACTGGGCCTGCAGCTTCGGATGTTAATTTTACCTTGTGTCTCTCACGGCAGGGGGAAAAATTAATGTTTCTTGGAGACCTAAAAGAGTGCAGTGAAACCAAGCCTTTCCAAGAGCTTACCAGTCCAACAGCCCTTGTTCACTCCTGAGCAGATGTATGGTGGTATTGTGGTAGACTACTATTAGGTACTCGGCGAAGTAACTGGAGCTGCAGTTGTGCTCTGGTTTAACTGGCCATCCCTTTCATCCTGGCATTCTGTCAAGATAACAAGAAAGAGAATCAGATAAAAAGAAGTGATCCTCGTGTCTTTTGACCCCCACATTTATATAGATGCTATTGGGGTCCCACCAGGTGTATCAGATGAATTTAAAGCTTGAAATCAAATAGCTGCAGGATTCGAATCTGCACTGTTCTGGTGGTATGCTATAAACAAGAATGTAGATTGGAAAAATTACATCTAGTATAATCAACAGCGGTTTGTCAATTACACAAGCAATGCTATTAATGGAATAGCTGAACAATCCGGCTCTATAATCCAAATGGCCTGGGAAAATAGAATAGCCCTTGACATGATGTTAGCAGAAAAGGGTGAAGTCTGTGTCATGTTTGGAGTCCAATGCTGTACTTTTATCCCTAACAACACAGCCCTGATAGAACAAAGGCTTTACAAGGCCTCACTTCCTTATCAAATGAGTTAGCCAAGAATTCTGGAATAAATGACCCCTCCATAAGTCTCATGGAAAAGTGGTTCAGCGAATGGAAGGGACTTATGTCTTCAATATTAACCTCTCTTGCAATTGTTGTAGGTGTACTCATTTTTGTAGGAAGCTGCATCACACTCTGTATTGGTGGGTTAATATCAAGACTTATAGAAGCAGCTGTCACAAAACTCTCCTCTATCCTTTCTCCTTGATACTCAGATAACTTCCTGTTCCTAAACAGTCAAGAAGAGCAACAAAGCCAAATTGTGCTATAAAAATTTTAAGAGAAAAAATTATCAAAAGACAAAGGGGAAATGGTTATGAATAATAAGTTCCTTTTCAAAAGGTTTAATTGTGTAATGTTCTTATCCATTGTTCAAAAGCCCAACCTCCTTGTACTTTCTTGTTTTCAGCCTGCAAACCACCATCCTGCTCTAGTTGTGCCCTGATTTGCCCAGACATGTCCAGACATGCCTTGTAACATAACAACAAACAAACCACTCCCACCCCATTCTTCTCTTACAAATCACGGGCTTACCATATTCAGAAAACTTTAAGCCTTAGCCAACCAACATCAACTTAGATTGTGTGATCCAACACTAGCCAATAGGGGAGGGACACAGAAACAGGAACTGCATTAGGAATTAAAAAAAAACCCTTCTCTCCTTTGTTCCATGTGCCTTTGTGATCATGACTGATGCAGGCAGCACTCTTCTGCAGAAGTAAATTGCCTTGCTGAGAAAACTCTTTGCCTGAGTGCCAATTTTTCTTTATGGCACCAAGTATTTGTTTCTAACATGTATGTATTTTTTCTTCATTTTTTTCTCTCTTTCTTCTTTTTGGTATGATATCCTACACCATATGTCTTAGATTTCTTTTCTCTCTTAAATATAACAATCATCATTGTTTTATATTCTATATTTGATACTTTCAGTATTTGATACTTTTGTGTGTTTGGAATCATAATTTCTCAATTAAAATTTATTGTTTCTTAGCATTACCAACCTAGATTTACTTTTTTTTTTTTTTTTTTTGAGATGGAGTTTTGCTCTTGTTGCTCAGGCTGGAGGGCAATGGCGTGATCTTGGCTCACCACAACCTCTGCCTCCCAGGTTCAAGTGATTCTCCTGCCCCAGCCTCCTCAGTATCTGGGATTACAGGCATGTGCCACCAAACATGGCTAATTTTGTATTTTTAGTACAGATGGGGTTTCTCGATGTTGGCCAGGCTGTTGTCAAACTCCCAACCTCAGGTGATCTGCCCACCTTGGCCTCCCAAAGTGCTGAGATTATAGGCATGAACTATGGTACCCAGTCCTAGATTGGCTTTAAACAACATTCACGGCTCGAGGCTTATTGAGTTGTTCTGTAATATGACTTTAAGACACAAATCCCTTCACTAACTGAATTGAGGTGGCCCTATCTCCTCTCCCTCACTTCCCCCTGCTTTGTGCCAAGACCATTTGCCTTGCAGACCTCTAGGAGAGGGAATCAGGTGAGACTGATTTCTGAGTTACTTTACACTAGAGCTGTCATGCTTTGGGTTATAATTTTGCTGGCAAGATGGTAGGTTGGGCTTGGTCTTTAGTATTCCATGTCTTAGGAGTGGATGAAAACAGTAGCTCTGTTTTTCATAGGCAGCAATGCTCTCAGGAAAAAAGCAACTTAGATACTCAGATTAGTTCTCTGGGTCCAAGATTTCTTTAGATTTTGGACTGATAATTCTTACAATTTTGCAAAGGTTTTTATAATTTTAAAAAAGAGATGAAATACATTTTACTAGTTTTTAGGAAAATAATAAGTCTGAATAACTTAGTCTGATTTTTCTCAGAAATGGAAATCTTAAATAAAAGATTAGTACATGTATTCCAACACTACTTAAAATAGTAATACAACTCATCTAGATAAAATATACATCAGGCTTGCAAGACTCATTTGATATTTAAAAATCTAATGATATGCTTAAGCCATTAGTGGGCTAATATAGAAAAATATTGAATTATCTGCATAGATAAAATAACATTCAATAAACTGCAGTAATAATTTCTGTTAAAATAAATTATTGTAAGTAAACTAGGATTGTAAGAATTATTTCCTAATAACTTAGAATATTCATATTTCTAAAACCTATAGTTAAAAATCATAACTTAATGGGGTTTTTTTTGAGTCTTGCTCTGTTGCCTAGGATAGAATGTAGTGGTGTGAACTTGGCTCACTGCAGCCTCCACCTCCTGGGTTCAAGCTTATTCTTGGTCTCAGCCTCCTGAGTAGCTGTGACTACAGGCATATGCCATCATATCTGGCTAATTTTTGTATGTTTAGTAGAGACAGGGTTTTATCATGTTAGCCAGGCTGGCCTCAAATTCCTGACCTTGGGTGATCCACCTGCCTCAGTCTCCCAAAATGCATTATAGGTGTGAGCCTCCGTACCTGGCCAAAAATCATAACTTAATGGTATATAACACTAAAGGCAACTTTCTCAATTTCAAAAGCCAAACAAAAATCCCACTAGTGCTGTTATTTTGTATTTTACCCTAGCAGTTTGCAGCACCATTGTGACTTCACTTAATCCTAATAAACTCTTTACAGGCTGTATCCCCAATACAGTCACATTAGGGGTTAAGGCTTCCATGGATGTATTTGGGACGGACATATTTAGTCCCTAACAGTTCTATCTGAATAAATGATAAGGTTTTTCCCATCAGTAAAGAAAATATGGACACCACAATAAATAAGTGGACAAAGGGAAAAAACAAAAAATTCACTGAGAGAAGTATAGATGCCCAATTAAATGAGGAAAATGATTCAGCTTACCTATAATCAAAGCATGGCTTACTAAACTGACAGAGATTTAACATATTTTTGCTTACCAGATAGGTAAAAATCAAAATTAAAATAATAATTAGTAACAGAAAAAAATGACTTCTTGTGTTTCCTGACTAACCTTAACTCTTTTTTGTTAACTCAGAGATAAAACTTTACTTACATTTTGGGGAAAAAAAAGTCTAAATGTTTTGTCAGAGGCATTTGAACTACAGTTACTCCATCTTGAATAGGGGCTGGGTAAAATGAGGCTGAGGCCTACTGGGTTGCTTTACCAAGATGTTAGGTATTCTAAGTTCCAAGGGTCAGATAGGAGGTTGCCACAAGATACATGTCACAAAAACCTTGCTGATAAAATAGCATGTGATAAAGAAGCTGGCCAAATACCACCAAAAGCAAGACATCAATGAAAGTAACCTCTGGTCGTCCTCACTGCTCATTATATGCTAATTACAGTACATTAGCATGTTAAAACACAATCCCACCAGTGACAGTGACAAATGCCATGATAACATCAAGAAGTTAACCTACATGGTTTAAAAAGGGGAGAAACCTTCAGTTCTGGAAATTGCCCACCCCTTTTCAGAAAACCACAAATAATCCATTCCTTATTTAGCATATAATCAAGAAGTAACAATAACTATAAGCAGCTGAGCAGCCCATGCTGTTACTCTGCCTATGGAGTAGCCATTCTTTATTCCTTTATTTTCTTAATAAACTTGCTTTCACTTTATGGATTCACCTCAAATTCTTTCTTGTGAAAGATCTATGAACCCTCTCTTGGGGCCTAGATCAGGATCAGTTTCTGGTAATAGTTTGACAGAAATTTTTACTTTATAGCTAATCATTAAGTGTTAAATAGATTAGCACATTACACAGGTGATAAGCAAATTTGGAATTCAAAATATCAAGATTTGTGTTAGAGCTTAGAAAAAAATCTATGAATTGAATCTTAAAATTCTGACTTAAAAGAAAGCCAAGAAAATTGCTTCTTAAAAAAGTCTGCTTAGAAGGTTATGATTGCCTCTTGTACTGATAAAGACAATATATTTAGTTAAAAAGCAGGACACAGAAATTTAGGAGTGCCATCATAACATGGTATTCAGGAATTTTGTTAGGCATATCTGTAGTGGAAAAAACAAAATATTACAACAAACAAGCTTATAATTCTGAGAGTATTTAAATTATGGAATATTTTAAATAGCATATTTTAAGATGTGTAAACACTTAAAGTGTACACTTGACAGACCTTTTCTCAGAAAACTACCTAAGGATGTGCAATAGTCAATGGAAAAATAAATCAACATGGAGGAATGAAGAAGTAGAGAACATATAACAAACAGTGGTGACCACATAAACCTGCAAAACAAATAGCAAAGTTTAAAACACATAACAAAAGAGTCTATTACACTTCTAATTTAAAGACCACAATGAAGCATGAAATACTATGCTGAGTTAAAAGCTGTTTAGTTGAGAGTCAGTGGAACTGCAAAAGATTTGTGGCTCCATGGAAACCTGAAACAGCCATGAGAAAAAAAGAATCCCTGGAGATGAGTTTGTTAATGAGGTTAGAATCCTACATTCTCTTCGGAATCTGCTGACCTAACCCCAGAGAACCTTTGACTCTGCTCTAATATTTAATTACTAGAAAACCATGTAATAGTTTCTAATGATAAATATTTACATAAAAAAACATCATGAAGTGATCATTCTAGTTCTTACCATGC